AAAAAACCTCTGGCACAAAATCAGTAGACATGAAATGCATACACATTCACTAATCCACATGCTGAATTCATCAATGTTGATGCAAGCATTTGAATAAAAGAGTTATAAAAAATACAATTAAAATGACATAGTTAATCTCTAATCTTGAATCAAATTTGTACAGTTTATTTTTCTGATTCATGCTATATAGAATTTTTTTTTTTTTTACACAATGGAAAAAAGAAAATAAAAAAATATAAACACAAAGTCAAGATTCTGGATAACATTTTTATTTCACAGGAAGCTACAACCAGATAAATTACTGTCACATGAAATATAATACCAACATTATAACTAGTTTAGTTTACTATAATTTTGCTATTAAAAAACCCAAAGTAAAACAAAGGAAAAAAACCTGCTGAAATCATTTTTGTTTGCTTTGTCATGTCATTGATAAATGTCTAGAAAGGAGTTACTGCTTAAGGATAACGGAAACACTGGTTATGATTAATCTGTATTCATTAGTAAATGGAAATTTGACATGTTTTAGGCCTTCTTCCAAAACTAGAGTTGATCTTGATGTGACTGTAGAAAATATTTGGAAATCTACAATATACTAAGCAATTTTTTTCTTCATAATATATGTTTATTGTAAAAAATATATAATATGAAGGATATAGTTTATAGATGATATTACATCAAAATTCTTGCCAAAACTTAATTTTTCAAGATGTTAATAAACTAGAAATATTTTCTAAATAAAAAATATTATTACATTAAATCTATGGAGACTATTTTGTAAAATTGACTTTATTTAATAGTAATTTTGTTATTCTTTGTAAATGAACAGTTCTATTTCCAAATACAATTGATTTTACTGTATGAACTAAATGTTGTCCTGCATGTGGGAAAGTAAAATAGTTGAATGCAGCAATTTTGAGAAAAGAACTGGCTGAACAAGTTGGTATGCTGCTGTTGCAGATGAAATAAGTAAAAAGTATAAAAATTAGAAAATATTCATCAGAACGAGAACATTTACAATGATTTCAGTTTTATCTGTGGAAACTAATTCCTCGAACTTAAAATATATTTTCTTGGAAAATGAACAATACCTGAAGCTAAGGTCTCTTTTCAGCCTCAGGTGCAAGAAATAATAAGCATTTTTTCTTTTTAAAGTAATTATCATGGATTACATGATAATTATCTAGTATATTTTAAAACAATTGAAAGTGTTAATGCAAAATACATTAAACAGATTCAAGATAGAATAAATTTATGAATAAAAAAATGTAAAATATTTCCTTTAATTTTGTCTGTAGTTTTTTTTTTTTAGGATCAACATAAAAAAAAAAAAAAAAAAATACAAAAAATAAAGATGGAGAAAAAAGTGCAGAGATTAAATTTGCAAACTAATCTAAAATGTTTCTTTGTTTTAAAACGAGAAGGAAAAGGAGTTATCCACTCTTATTTTTTTTAATTTTCCATAAATAGATGAAAAAGCAATTAACCTTTCTAAAAATGTGAAACTGCATTTTTAAAACTTACTGTAAATACAATTTGATAAAAAAAAGAATTAACATTGTTCGTGATGAGATTCAATCTAAATTTTTTTTATAGATATATGTAAACAATCATCTATTGACTTCATGATATCAAAGATCTTAAATATACAAGAGTTTCCTCCCTTACAAATATAGTAGTGAATATTAAATTATAAATTCAAGCATTTTTGAAGGGATGGACACTAGTTTTTTTCATGTATCAGAAAAAAATGTCATTGTTATAAATAATTGTACATCTTTTTAATATCACTTGGTAGAGAAGGATCTAAGTGCAAGTAACGTATTTTAAAGCTAATTTTGCATAGATTAAAAAATATAGTAAATTTCATAAAAATTCTAGGTTGGTATGGTGAACACTATGTAGTTCAACCATTCTTTTTCATGCTTTCAAGATGAACTTACAAAAAAAAAAAAAAAAAAAAAAAAAAGAAAAACAGCCATACTCAATCAGCAATATACTGAATAATTTGTTCCATCTACTATATAGAACTAATTTTCCAATTTGGTCATTTTTGGAAAATAAGACTCGCCCATTGTACCTGTATAATACTTTTAATTATGACTGCAGACAGCTGATAGTTTTTGTGATAAATTTTAGAAAAAGTTTGGTTAAAACATTAATGTAATCTATTTTGGATTTATTTGTAGCTTTTCAATAAATTAATGAAATTCTGCCTACCTTTTCATTGGTAGAATTAAGAATTTGAGAAGGTATATTTACTGACTACTAAGATAAATACCTGAAATAGAAGTGTGTATAATAATAATTTATTATCTCAAACTTTTAGTATAAATTACATAACGTTTTTTCAAATAAAAGGAGACAAGTAGAATAATGCTATTATGTCACCAACGTATCTAATATTGTACTTAAAAATATAGCAAAAGTTTTCTTTTGCTACTATAATTTTTATTGCATTTCAGTTTTTACTATAAGCTACATATTTAAAGGAAACATATACAGAAAAAATTTTTTTTTAGTTTGCAGGGTTGTAGTAATTAAATTTTTATGTAGCAAATAATGATTTAAAAGATTTAACAATATTCTTAAAAATTTCCTTAATTTTAAGTTAAATCTCCCCATTTTTAAATATACTATACATACTCATGTATCATGTGACTTCTGAAGACCTAATTTCGAAGCTAATTTTAAGGAGGTTGCATCATGCATGAGATATAAAATTAGCATATGTACTGCTGGCCCTGGCAATGCCATTGACCAAACTATATATACATTTACTGTAGTCAGATTAGCTTGAAAATTGGGTCTTCAAAGGATGCATGATACACGAATATATATGGTATATAAATTTTTCTCTCTTTATCTATCAAATTGTTTTCATCAGTATTCAGAGAGAAATAAAACTTACAAATTAAAAAAAAAAAAAAAATTAAAAAAATTGCTTAATATAAATTTTTTCACAGCAAATTTCTTGTCAGTGGACGCCAGTTTGTTTGTATGAAAATTGATAAATAGCTGCCATTGAAATTGCAATATTTTTCATTGTTGGTATACAAAAGATAACAGGTGCCTATAGTCTGCCAGGACTTACACCTGGATCCAGACAAAGTATCTTTTTTTAGCACAAGCTTCTATTTCACATTCACACAAAGTTCTACAAAAATGCATTAAACTCAAATGATCTAAAAATTCCTGGTGCTTTTTGAGAGAAAAATTGATGTAAAATTTTCACATTCTTCATCTTTTTTTTCAATTTTTAATTAAAATAAATTTTTTAACTTAAAAATAATGAAATCAACTTTTAAAAATGTTCATGTAAAACAAAGTGAATATTTACTTTTTGTGTATTACTTGGGTATTGAAGATTTTATGTAAGTAAACTGAATAGACAAGGGTAAGAGAGACTTGCTTAAGCTTTTAAATGCCATTTTGTTTCAGTAAGCTAAATCAACTAATGAGCCCTACTGTTTTGAGAATTATGTGAAAGATTATTCAGACAATTTAGGTTCCATTTATGAGAAATCTGTGTGTCCCACTTTTTTGTTAAAAACTTGTTAATAATGTAACAAAACTTTAGGAGAAACATTTTTCATTAAAATTGTTTTCCACCAGATTTGAACTATTTTATAGCCAATATTTCCAGTACAAGGTGAGCAGTTCCTGAGATCTTGTCTATCCTGTTGGCTACTGAGCACAGAGTAAATCAAGTTATAAATTAAACATTTTCTTTTTAGATGGAAGTTCCAAAATGAAAATATGACTATAATATATACAATTTCAGAATTAGTAAAAGAACCGCTTATCCAGTATTCAAGTACTGAACTGTTTTTCTCTTTCAACAACCCTTTCAAAATAAAGGGAAGCTAAGAGGCAAACAATTGATATAAAACAGCTTTCAGCAGCAAATTTTATATCAATGAAGAATCAAGTAAAATCAACAAAGAGGACAAAGATTTTAAAATGGACCATAATCAGAGCTGATATGGATACAAGTAATTTCTCCAAGAGAATAAACAAAACTGCAGATTGTAATATCTGATCCACCTTCCTGATATATATATAAAAAAAAAAAGTTTGCTTTAAAAAAAAAAAAAAAAAAAAAAAGGATTAATTGTAGCTATCTTGTTAAATTAATGAAATCATTAATAGCAATGAACATTTGCAGGTAAGTGAAAAAAAATGTCCTGAGTGTTCTGTATAATCTTTAAAAATATTGAAGCAACAACTGATTTAAACCCATGACCTAAGCAGTTCTTAGACCTTTAGAATTGCCAAAAAGACAATAGTCTGGATTTAAGCATCAAATCTGCACCAGTTGTTATTTAATAAGTACTGGGCTCGACTTACTTCCCAAAAAACAAGATGTCAATGATTAAATATCCGAATACTGGCAATTGGAGCAGGCTGAGAACTTTTCAGCACTTTTTGGATATATTCTTTAGACAGAGATGAGAAGTTGTCACCTAATTATATTTTTTAAAATTAAATAAAAATGCTCCATTGAAAATAAATTAACATTGCAAATTATTTGTCAAACATACTAGCAATAGCTAGCAATAATAAAAATTTTATGTGCATTTGAAACATTAAATGCTTTCCCGAATAAAGATACTTAATTGTGCTCATATATTGTACATTGGTTCTGATTATTTTTTTTTTGTTCATTTTTTATTTTCTATTAATTGTTTTTGTTAATAAGAAAATATTTTGAATAATTTCAATAATTTTGAAACTGCTAATTGAAAAAATAAAAGAAAAACAAGAATTTCTGGCTGGAGATTTGGTTTTTCAATTCCAATATTTTTTTCCAGCATTGAGATGAGATGAAGAATGTGTTGGCAGTAGAGAGTAAAATCTGGTACCAGTCACTCACCAATTATTTCAAAAAGCCTAAGAATTTACTCTTCAAACTTACAAAAGAATCAACATATTCATAGATACTTGGAGAAACATTCTGATATTAGCTGCCCGCCTGAAGGTGGTAAAAAGATAGTGATTTAATGCATGTAAGGATAGTTCCATTTCTTTAGAGGAACTTTGCTCTCCTTGATAGACTGAATTGATACAAACTTCATGAGGTAGTAAGGTCCACCAGCTTTATCATTGGTTCCTGCAACAATGACAAAAGAATTATATATTTTTATAACTGATTATTATTGTTAATACTAATAGATACAAATAAAGATTTAAGATAAATGAAATACAAAATTAAACATGAACAGGTATAGAAACAAAGAACAAAAAATAAAGTGACAATAATGTTTAACTTTCAGATAAAAAAAAAAACAAATGTAGCATTCTACTTATTGTTTATTGAACTAAGAAATTTAAAAAGAGAATGTATTTTTTTATTCATTTCTAATATTCTAAAAACATACAATTGAAGCTTTTTTACCTATACTTATTGCAAACATTCAAAACTACATTATTGTGTGTATGTGCTATGAATCACTTACCAATTTCAAGAGTCTTATAACTATTAATACTTGTCAGTGATGGGTATGCTCATTTAATGAGTTGACAGCCATCATATACAGGACACATACTTCAAAGAAAAGCACTACTAATCAAAGTCATGTAAAAACTCATTACAGTTTGAGTTAGATAAAATTATGGGAACTGGAAAATCTATTTTAAAAGTATAAAGTCATAAACAAAAAATTTTATTAGCTCTACACAAGCACCATTAAATTGAATTTTGAAAAAAAGTGCAAGTGAATACTCAAGAGTTTTGCTTTTCTTTTTAACCACTAATGCTACAAAAAATTCTTTCCATGCAATTTCGAATAGATTTCTTATATAAATTCAGCTACAATCAAGGACTTAACAATTTCCTAACAAACAGTATTCAGGTTCAAGGAGCCATTTCATATAATAGCTTTAAAAGTCTTGTTTCAATGCTAAGAATTTGGTTCGTTTGGCTATGACCAATCTTTTCTTTCGTTGAATATTTCTCAATATTATTTCTTTGATTTCATTAAATGTCAATTCTCAATGAAATCTGATGATGGCTTTGCATCTCACAGTGGCCAAAAATAGATCCATGATTTCTTTCTGTTCTTCTGGTGTTAGTTTATCTTGTAACTTCTTTATTCTGGCATGTGCCTCAAAGCATTTATCCAAATCTTTACATTTTCAGGTTCTTCTGTGTTCAACAAAGCTCCAACAGGCGACACCATTTTGTTATGATAATCAAGCTTAATAGCCGTAGATATTCTCCGTACACTGACTCAAGTCACCTGTGAGCTATAATTATAGCCCTTTCTATGCTAATTACTCATTAGTTAAACCAATCCTGTTACATTTTTTTTTTTTTTTTTTTTTTTTAAATCAGAATCACCGCAAGCAAGGCAGTAATGCCACTAAAATACAAGGGGTTACAGGGAGTGGAAGAATTACCAACAGAAACTTTAATGATGAGCAGAAAGAGAGGAGAATAATCAGGTAGCGAGTAGATAGTGATTGACATTACATTTAAAGTTTTCCAGATTAAAATTAGTTGGAAAGCGTGGAGCCAGAAGGGAGTTCCACAAGCAAGAAGTGCAAAAGAAACTATTAGCATAGAATATACGGCTATATCTAGCCAGATTAACTGTAAATTGATGAGATCTCGAGGCCCATCTAGTGCTGCACTTAAATTCAAAAGATTCTAGGTACCATAGCAAAGAACTCACTTGAACAATTACCATGAAAGTATTTATAGAAAAGACAGAGAGGCAAACTTACGGTGGTGGGAAAATGATTGGAGCTCAGCTGCCAGATCAAGACTGATAATATTGCAGATTCTTTGGATCTTATCAAGCTCAAGGTAAATAGCAGGGGCACTGGACCATATGTGGCAGCAATATTTTAATCATGTACAAATGGCAGACTTGTAGATAGATTCTGGAGAGAAAAATTGTCTCACCTGATATAGTGAACAGAATTTCTTAGCAGCTAACCTAGTAATGGATTCAATATAGTCTTTCCACTTCATATCAGCAGAGAATGTGAGCCCGAGAAGTCACTTTCTGGAGGATAGCATCAGCCATGTTGATGTCAGGCAGCAGTGGGGGTCTCTCAGCTGATTAGCAGAGAGAAATTTAGTTTTGGAGGTGTTAAAATTAAAAAGCCATCTTTTACCCCAGTTAACTATGAACTTGGTTATTTTGGATATTGGCTTCCATTTTGACCTTGTCAGACAGATAAGCCTTACTATCAAGGTAGAAGTAAATTGGTGTGTCATCTGTGTAAATACCAATTTAAGAGCTGATGCCATCAGGAAGGTCATTAATGAAAATTAAAAATAGAGTAGGACCAAGGACGGAGTCCTGGGGGTCACCTATGTTAGTACAAAAGTATCTAGATGAGTGGTCCTTCAGGATAACTCATTTCATGATTTGAGAGGAAAAAAAAAAAAAAAAATAGATGTGTGTGTGTGTGTGTGTGTGCGTGTGTGTACAAAATAAAAAATTTAAAAATACTTTTGCAATGATTAACAAAAGATTTCATCCTAAAACTCATTTTTCAAAACTTTTTTAAATAGATTTATACAATGCCATATAAAGACAATTTTATAATTTTGCCATTAGTTTTTGTGTGGCACAAACTATAATTGAGGAAATGAACATCATTACAGCTGAACAAGTAAAACACAGTTATGACTAAAAAAAAAACAACAAAAAAACAAAAAAAAAAAAAACAATCAAATTTATGGTTATGAAGGGGGAAATAATTAATCCATAACATGAACTCACAGTGGGAATGTAGATTGAATTTTTTTTATTTTATCTAAAAGAAAAATAGGTTACCTGAAAGTCGGCTACCACCAAATGGCTGTTGTCCAACAATAGAACCTGTTGATTTGTCGTTTATATAAAAGTTTCCAACTGTGTCACGGAACATATCAGACAGCTTCTCTAAAGCTTCCCTGAAATAAAATATAACTTTGAAAAAAAAAAAAAAAAAAAGCATACAATAATCATTCTAAGCTTGAGTTTTATTTCAAAGGAAAATCTATTGTTTTAAAGAAGAAAAATTCAAATTTAATGTAAATTATGAAGCCATTTACTTAATTTTTTGAGTGAATTTTAGGAAATCATAGCAGCATTTAACTTAGCAAAAATAGTTATTGCTTAATTACTAAAGTTTTTCTAACAAATAATTCATAAGGATTAAATGTTATTTGGTTTTTAACCAACTGCCTCAAATGTAATGGGCTGAAACAAAAGTTCAAAGCATTTTTTGAACACATTAAATGTCACATGTGACTAAAATTTATGATATATATATATATATATATATATATATATATATATATATATATATATTCTGAAAGGGGATATTTCAATGAATCTTTATGCTATTCATGTTAGTGATTCATTTTCATTATTTAATGCAAAAAACCATGCAAACATTAAAAAGGATATATGCTATTTGTGGAGATGGCACCATTAAGGGGTTTGCTATGTTCAAAAATGGAAATTTTGACCTGGAAGACCAAGAACATTTTGGCAGACCTGCAGTTATTGATGACCAAATAGAGATTCTGATTAAAGACTCCACATATCTAATATGAGTTCATATGAGATATGTGGGGTCTCTGTTTCTAATTGTATCAATTAAGGGCAGCAATCAATAAAAAGCATCTGCAATTGGCTAATTCAGAAGTGTCATTGTTCATTAAGACACTAGACAATATATCTCTTTATAGACGTGGGAAATATTTGGAAGTCCTACTACACCCACTGCACACACCTGACCTTGCATCTTCAGGTTCCCATTTATTTTGGTTTATACAAAAATCACTTAACAGGAAAAATTTCAGTTCTCTGGAAGCCTGTAAAACCGCTTAAACCATTTATTAGAAAGATGTTAAGTTCTGGGAGGATGAATTCATGAAGCTGCCTCAAAGATGGTGACAGGTAATGGAGCAAAATGGCACATATGTGGTTAAATAAATCTGTATACAAATATCTAAATGTCATTGAAATTCACTTAAAAAATTCTATGGATGTTTGTTCTGACCCAGTAATTATTGGGTGAGTATCATTGTTGTTTATCAGAATCCAAAGATTTTGTAGTACAAGATTCATGTATGAAATAGTATCAACTGAAAGAAATTACAAATGAAACAAGGTATGTTAGATCAAATCAGTTTATGTCTTTTGCATGTAACAATAATATGGAAGTAAATTTCTTCAAATTTAACTTCAGTTCAGTTGGACCAGTGTTGGGGAAAAATGTGTACAAGAATCTGACCAGTACCTGAAATGGGAAAATTATTTGAGAATATAACCTCAATTTTGGTAAGTGCAGGAGAATAAATTGTTATTTGGAGAATTTTATTTTAATTTGCAATTGAGGATTTAAAATCCTCAAATACTCATATAAAGAGCCCAATTATTCAATTCTTTATATTCATATGAAGTGAAAATAAAAAAAAATATCTTTAAATATTTATTTTTGACAACAAATTAATAAAAAGGTTTAATTTGTAGACTATGGTGTAATGAAGATTTGAAGCATTGAAAATTAATGACTATTTCTATGCTTTTGACATTGAAACTATTCCATGAAAAATGATTTGTTATTTAAATAGGTATCTCATGAGAAGAATGAGAAAAATCAAGTCAGATTTTAATATGCAAAAATATTCATTTATTCTTTAAAGTTTCTCAGAAACTAACGTTACCTATCATTTTCATCATATCATTCAATCCTATAATACTATGTCTAAAATCTTTACTGAATAAAGTACATTAAATAGATAAATGATTCTTAGCTGTTATCAAATCTTAAACATAATATTAGAACAAATTCATAGAAATTAACATTTAAAAAATAAGATTAATTAAGTAGGAAATCCTAAGACAGTTTACAATCCAATCAATAAAAAATGTTAAAACAAATGCCATGATGACAGAATATATTACATAATTTTTTAATATTAAAACAAAAAAACAAAAAAAAAAAAAAAAAAAAAAAAAAAAAAGAAAGAAAGAAACTCACTTGTCTTGTGCATAAATAGCACCTGTGAGTCCAAAAGGTGAAGTTGTGTTAACAAGAGCAGCATATTTTTTATACTCTTTGTCTGGGTAGACATACATGGATAAAACTGGACCAAATATTTCCTAAAAGAAAATTAGTGATTTTTAAAATTTGAAATAAGTATTTTTTAACATTAAGAGCAAGCAGAAATTTTGTAAACAAATATTAAGACTTTGAAAATTTCTAAGTTCCATTATGAAAAAACCATTTGAAAAGAAAACAGTTTCATGTTTTTAGCAATGTTATACATCTTATTCAAGGTATTTATTAATGAAAGTCTTAGTTATCAGATAAAATTAATCATTTGAGCTAAATGACAGTGGGTTTATTAGTAGATAACATTTCAAGCTAATCTTTATTACAAAACCTTCAAACTTAAATCAACCCCATGCCTCAAAACTTAGTTATAATGTCTGTTTTATCAAAATACATCATATAATTTTCTTTGTTCTTCTGTTAGCAAGTTAATATAGTATGTTATGTCCTTTAATAGATTACCTGTCTCCTAACCACAAATTCTTGGCATAGCAGCAGTGGACAGAGTAAATCCTGATTATGTGAACATTATTCGAAAACAATTATTCAAAAAACATTTATTTGAATTATAAATTGTTTGAATGAAAATTAATTGAAAGGACAATTATACTAAATAATTATTTGAAATCCCCAATTTTTTTATTGCAATAAAAATGTAAAAATTAAAAGAGGAAATACACAAATAATAATTATTTGAAATACAATTATTGTTAATAAAACAGTTTCATAAGAAAAAATCCTTATAATCTGAAGTTATATGGTACTGCACGCAAATAGTCAACTACTGAAGAGAAGGAAGCCACTAATTTTTTAATTTTTTCATTTACGTCACAGTATTTCTTGGCACTCTTAATATTTTGGCAACCTGCTCTTACTTTCGCAATATGAATTTCTTGCAAGTCATGTTCTCTTTTAAGAGAATCTGAGCATTTCCATATTGTAGGATGATGGGATGACACTTGCAGCAAAAAAGCCCTATGCTATGCTATCCTTCAAGAGTGTTATTAGTACTAGATAAATCAGCATTGATTTCCTCAAAGCAAGACCACATACGTATTTCAAACATTGGTATTTCAAATAATTATCATTTAGCATAATTGTCCTTTCGATTAATTTTCATTCAAACAATTTATAATTCGAATAGATGTTTTTTGAACAATTTTCTCCATATGGTAAATCACTAACCGTTTTGTTTCTATTTAATAAGTCTGACTCTGGGGTACAGCCATTAATCCATGTTGAAGCTGTATATATGTGTTGCTAAAATTAAGGATCTAATGGTAAGTACCTACTTATTTCACACCCCTGTCATTGCTGCAGATAAATAATGGACCATTCCATTTTGATTGCAAGGCGAGATGAAAGAAAAAGACAGACACTGATTCGTTTTAGTGAGGGGAAAAAATGTCTGCTTCAGTGAAATGGAAAATTGTTTTTATAACATTACTTAAATTATGTACCTCCAAGTTCTTTAAGAATTAATCTACTTAAAAATTAAAAATACATAATTTGGAGAGATGATTAATCAGGTATAAAATTACCCCAGGAAATGAATCATCCATAAAATCCTATTATTGGGTTACTTTTTTTGTTTGAATGAAAAAAACTGCATTAAAATGGTTTCTCCATAAAAAGTAGTTTAATTTAAATATGTCAAGCAGGATTAATACAAATATTTTCAAACATTAATTGAAAATTTAGAATAATCTTAAGATTTTACTAATGGTAAATTAAAAAATAAACATTAATTATGTAAACTTTAATAACTTGTGTTAAGTCTAATTTACTTTAAACATTTAATGAAAAAAAATAATTGTATAGATTAAAGACAAAATAATGCATGATCATGGGGCAGAAATACAACATTACATAAGTGAATTTTAAAAATTATAGCTTGTAACAGTTTTATAAAAAGTTTACCACACATAAATAAAACAGGTTCAGCTCATGTGAGAAAATTAGGATTTTTACTTTTTTCTTCTAATTTCTAGTCATTTTGTAGCTTTCTAGTAAAACAAATGTGAAAATTCACAATTTTCTATAAATTGATTTTAGAACTCAGGTGAACTGTTTGATCCTTCTATCGACCTATTAGTCTTCTACTTCTTTTTGGCAATATCTGAGAGGCTCTACCTCACCTTGTAGTGTCTTCTTTCATACAAACATTTGCTTTCATTTCTCTAGATCAACTGCTTATGTGTTAATGATTATTGCTGAAAGAGTGTCAAGCTTTAGTGAAACTTGGGCAGTTGTTTTAGATAAATCAAAGGTGTTTGACATGATTTGGCATACTGGTTGTCTTCACAAGTTAAAAGATTATGGCATTCCTGGACAAATTTTTGATTTGATTTAATTTTACTTATCTAATGGCAAAATGAAAGTTGTCTTGAACAGTCCCTCTTTGAAATCGTTTTATATTGATGTGGGTGTTCCCCAGGGTTCTATCATTGGATACTAATTTTTTCCTAATTTTCATCAACAACCTTCCTGGTGTCATTAGTATTTATGCTGATAACACAATTACTTCTGTCTTAATGGTAAGTCTGACCAGTTTGATAAGGTCAAATGGGCAGCAGAACTCAAAAATGGCCTTCAATCATTTAACTGGGGCAAGAAATGGTTTGTTAATTTTAATGTCTCCAAAATAAAACTTTTCTCTTGTCTTCAAGAATCTTTTATACCTTCCATTAGCATGGCTGATATTAATGTCAAGAGGTGTGACTCATTGTACCTTTACATGCTAAAATTTTCCACTGACATAAAGTGGAAAGATTATATTGAATCAGTTGCTAGATCTGCTGCTAGGAAAGTTGGTTCAATGTTGTGAGAGACATTTTTTCTTGTTAGAATCTACCTTATACCTTTTATAAGTCCACCGTTCATGTATGCATTGAATATTGCTGTTATATCTGGTCTGGTGCTTCTGATATGTATTTAGAGATTCTTGGCAAAATCCAAAGAAGAATCTGCATTATTATTGGTCCTGACATCTTGGTTTCAATTACTTTCCCAACGCTGTAACATAGCTTTCCTGTGCTTTTTCTATAAATATTTCTATCATAATTGTTCTGATAAGCTTTTGTCTTTGGTACCACAACTTTACAAATTTAAGCAAAATGCTAGATTGACAGTTATGTCTCATCATTTTAAAGTTGAAATTGCTACATTTAACCATAAGGTCTATGTTATAAGTGCCTTCTGTTGCACATTGAACTATTCATGTTTCTTGCTTTTCAATCAACTTTGATCAAAAATTTAAATGCAATATAAATCATCATACTGTCTTTAAATCATATTCTTTTATTGTCCTCTTTCCTTAACAATATTTTTTTCTCTTTTACACTCAGTGTCTATTTCTTTGCTTGGAGTGAAATGATTAACAAGGAAAAAAAAAAGACAATTTCTGTACATTCAAATGAAACCATTTTCATAAAATGTAGAGATAAAGAAGATATTACAAAGGCATACCTCTTGCATCAGTTTATCTTTTGGGTTACTGCATTCAATAACAGTTGGTTCAATAAAGTAGCCTTTGCTGGAAAGAAAGAAAATGGACAATTTTATCATATATATATATATATATATATATATATATATATATATTAAATAATCACCTTTTTTCATATTTTACTTTATATTCAGTGAGTTCTTTTTGAGATGTTCTTCAAAGTAAAATTAAAGACTGCCCATGAAAAGTCAAAGATCACAAAACTTTTCATTTTACCTGACTTCCATCCATGGCTGTTTTGTATAAAATGCTCATGAAATTGATAAATAAAATTATTTGAACATTTTGTGCAGCTGAAATTTTATCTCTCAAAAAGAAAAACTTATATAATTCTACTTGTTCTTCCAGGAGTTCATGTTATCACATGCATTATGCCCCTACCTCAGATAAGTAATGGACTCTTCCATTTTGTTTGTGAAGCAAGACAGAGGAAAACGTTATAGGAGATGCTGTTTTAGTTTTAGTGAGAAAAAGAAAGCATACATAATAAAAAGAAAGAAAGGAAGGAAGTGAAGATAAAGGTGATAATGGTCTCATGCATTTAATGTCCACTTCAGTGAACTTCTTTAAATAATGATTTGCATTTATAGTTATGATTGTCATTGCAATATTTTGTTAATTTGTTAAGCTCAAATATTTCATGATGCAATATGAGAATTTCTGTAAGGAGAGGAATAAGAACTTAAGTATTTGAAGAAAATTCAAATAGGAAAAATTGTTTATTTTTCAATGGTAGTGATAGTTCAACATAAGCACCATTATTATTTATGGATCTGTCAACACATGCAAATCCTGCTCCTCTGTGATATAAGGATGACAGTTTTGGATTGAAGATATACAGTGCCATTTTGACATGGTCATTTAGTAGGTATTGACTATTCAATTTCTGCTGACAGTAGAAAAGGCTCTAATTAGAAAGTAGAATAGAAATTTCCAATTGGAGTAATTTTACATTGTGTGCAACAAACTCATTTTGCACAATTGCCAGTTCTTAAAAAAAAAACAAAAACAAAAAACAAAACAAAACAAAAAACCCTAACCTACATTTTGCAATCCAGATTGTAACTATTATGTAGAGACAAGAGATGGGTGTTACTAAGGAGTCTGTAGATCATCCAAATAGTACACTAAGCCATAAAGTAAATAAATTTTAAAAAGGTTTATGTTACCAAACAAAACAAGTGATAATTCCTTTGCCTGATATTTATATAACACTAGCAGTAGAGCCCGGCGTTGCCTGGGGATATAACAGTAAGAGATAGATCAAGTATCGACCATCATAAAGACTGAAAAATAAAATTGACAAAGATTATTGTTTAAGGTTGACGGACACGCATGTCTTAATTAGTTTTTTTTTTTTTACGAATTGGTCAAACCCAAACAAAAACATTGTTTTCAATCGTTATGAGTTGACTGATTGAATAGAATTTTATTATAAACAATTGTCTTGTAAATGAAATTTTTAAAGCATCCTGAATGTAAAATAAAAAAAAAAGTGTGCAAGACAATAAGAAACACTACATGCAAAAAAAAAAAAAAAAAAAAAAAAAAAAAAAAAAAAAAAAAAAGTGAAGTTTTTATTTGAAATCGGTTGAAAAAATGTAGGTAGCCTTTCTGTAATATTTTAGTTTTACAATTTATGATTTTTACTTATTGAATACAGTAAAAAAAATTGCATATTTTGCTTGTGGTGATTCATAATTAGAATTCTGATTTGAATACATTTTCCACTCGTTGTTTCTAATACAAAAAATATTAACTTTATTTGGGTTTATTAATTATGATCTAACAAATCTTATTCATTTAGTAGCCTTTCTGTAATAATCTTTTACAATTTATGATTTTACTTATTGAATACAGTAAAAAATTGGACACCATGTGTATTTAAAGTAGTTTCCGTTCGGTTATTATTTTTAGTTAGGTCTTGTGTATGTTTAGATTTCATTATCTTTCCCTAAAGATAAAAGAATTTATCCGATGTTTGTATTCGTACAATCAGTAGAGATCGTTAGATTATTGTTTAAGATTGACGGACACGCATGTCTTAATTAGTTTTTTTTTTTTTATATTTTACGAATTGGTCAAACCCAAACTCAAACAAAAACATTGTTTTCAATCGTTATGAGTCTACTGATTGAATAGAATTTTATTATAAATAATTGTCTTGTAAATGGAATTTTTAAAGCATTCTGAATGTTAAAAATAAAGAAAAAAGTGTGCAAGAGAATAAATGAAGTTTTGTTTTATCGGCTGAAAAATATAGGAAATCCGCTCCCATATTTAAAGGAACCCACACACCAACAGCCCGATATGAGTTGTCCCCCTTCCATTTTCACGATGTCTCTTAATCGTGTTTTCAAACTGATTTTGTGCAAAAACAATTATATTTTTCCCATTTTTGGCGCTGTTAGAACCGGTTGAAAAATGTAGGAAATCCGATCCAATATATAAACGTTACAGACACACACACACAATCTGCGTTTTATAATAAGATTAAAAAAAAAAAAAAAGAAAAAAAGAGAAAATAAATCTCCATTTATAAATCATTCTGAATTAAACCAAAAAACAATCATCTTAGTTTTACAATATTTACAAGTTCTCACATTAAAAGTCAAAGTGTGTTAAAGTGTGTAAGTTGTATGATTTTTTTTTACAATACTTATATCTATTTATCTGTTTTCTAATACACAAAGGAAATATAAATGTATATGCTTATACAAACAGTCCACCAGAATTGAATTTGCATCAACCAACCTGTTATCACAAGTTCCACCAGCAATTATTTTAGTAGATGGTGATGATTTGGCATATTCAATGTAGTTTTGGATTCTTTCAAATGCCTGAAATGACAAAAGAATAAAAAAAAATTAAATAATAATGTTAATAATAACAAAAAATAAAAATTACTTTAGGAGTATACGAAGCTTGTATTTAAAATTTTACATTGTTTTATGTAAATAAATCTCAAATTTTACAGCAAATGGTTTTATACATTTATAGTGGGTGCTGAAAAGTTCTTGGTATAACTTAAATGAATTTAAAATTTATAAAGTCAGACTGAAAATTTTTCAACACCACTTATAATTTTTTTAAATTACTTTTTAAAATTTTACCTATTGAAAGTATTTATGGGTTAAAAGTGAGTAAAATAAAAAAATAGTATTTCTAAAATCAAGTTAGTTTCATATAATCATGCATTAATTGAAATACTGAGTTTCTTTAACAATTCAAAGAAAGTCTCCTGGAAAAACTGAGAAATTTTCAGTATATGAATTTATTATAACAAATGATTGTAGTTTGATAGTTTATTTTTTCAGCAAAAGGAAAAGCTGAAACATGATTTATGAAATGCCTGTTATAACTGGATTCATTAAATTATATGACATGTAAAATCAAGTCAACAACTAAAAATTGAAATTAATTCTCTCTTAAAAACTTGTGTACAAAATAACTTACACTAGCATCATAACTAATTATTTTATACTGTTGCATATCCTGATAAATCAAAAACATTTAAACCAAGTGATGATAAATTTTTCCTCTCGTGATTCATAAGAGCAACAGGACTTACATATGTGATATATTACAAGGTTAAAACTGACCCAAATATTGTTGCAAAAGATGATAATCTATCTACCTTGTCATCAATAACAGCAGACAAGAATGTGTCTGCTTCTAATGGAGATCCAATTTTAACTTTCTTCAGTTCTTCTGTAATCCTTTCTTTAATTTCTTTAGCTTTTGATTGAGGGATGTAAAGCCGAGAGCAAGCAGAACATTTCTGACCACCATATTCAAAAGCGGATCTGATGGTCCCATTCACCACTGCATCCATATTTGCTGATGGATGGACAAAATGGAAATTTTTGCCACCACATTCTAGAACGAATATCAGAAAATAATTCCTTTCTAATAGGTATCAATCCAAAGCAATGTTAAAAGGGAAAGACAACATTTATACAAGTAATGTAAACTCTATAAAGAGTATATTTTTTTTTTTTATTTTTTGTACAGAAGGCAGAATGAATATATTTCAACCTATCTTTGTAACCATGTTCAAATTGCTTCTCTAAATATATATTTTCAGAAAAAAAAAAAAAAAAAAAAAGAAAACATTCAACTAATGAAAAAAAAAAATCAAGTAAAACTGGAAATAAAATGTATTTATGGTTATATTAATAGAGATTCATAAAATTTATTTGAAAACAGCTTAATTTCAATTTGGTAAAAGTAATATTTAAATGTTGCATTGCTTTTTGTTTTATTCTTTGAAAACATTTTATATTTTCTCAGGAATTAAAGGATAATTTTTGTTCAGATGCAGTTCTTAATTTTGTTAGGCAAAAAGAAAAGAAAAAGAAAAGGTCAGATCAATTTCCTTAAAAGGCAGTAATAGGAGTAGCAAGCTAACAAAACTTCTGAAACTTGTTAAACATACCCTGTCTGTAGAATAAAAGTAAAACTGGCTAAACCTAAGATTAGCTTTCTGGGTTCAAATCCTGAAGGAAACTGATAGCTGAATATTTGTTTCAAAATATAAAAGAAATACAAATTCATTATTTCATAACTTCAGATACTTAATACCATTTTAATGCAAACACTTTCTACAAGCAATTTCTTTTGTAATTGTGTTATACTCCATCCAATTAGATCTCATTCTGAACGCTAGTTGGATGTGACTGCTACGAAAGCAGAAGACGAAATAGCAAGTTGTTTTCTACGCATTGGCTTCACACATGACATCTGGTCTACAAAGTGAGCTCTGGTTGTGGTCAATTGTAAATGCTCCCACCAGTAAAAGAGATACCACTTAGGATAACCAGAAGTGCTTAAAAGCAGGCTCTGAGGATGAACAAGAAACAGTTGCAGCCGGCGCAGCTACTGGCTGTCATGCAGGTTGCTGCTGCTAACTCTGCCATGACCCCATCACCATGACTACAGAGTGGTAGATCAGCCACCACACAAAGTACAACTACTGCCACAGTCGCTGCCTTCACTGCCACCACTAAACATGACTGCACATTTCAACAACCATTACCACTTCCTCCTTGACCTACAACCTCAGCTATCCAGTTTTCAACTCAACAGTTCTACCTCAATTCCTCCCAGCTACAGGCCTCCGTCAATACCAACATCTGCCGTCACCTCAGCCTACCTTCGCGGTTGACCCCAGTGGCATCTGTACCACAGAACAGCTCTACCTTGACTTGCTACAAGGCACTCTCTTTGCAGTTGCCGCAGCAACCTCTGTTCCACAGAACTGGCCTCCTGAAACCTGCTGTCACCTTAGTCTAATTTGACTTGTTTACAAAGCACTCCCTTCACAGTCAACCCCAGTGACATCCATTCTCTACAACTGACATCAATCAAGTAAATGTGCACTAACCGTATCTTGTGACCCCAGCCATGCCAACATAAGAAATGGTTCGCTCTCCAAATTACACATACATCCAACCATATTCCTCTACTATATACCACAATAAACACTGTTTCACTTTAACTTTAATTCTCGTTATTCCTTTCTCTTGCTACCATTTGCTTAATATAACAATTATATTTTTGTTAAAGAATATTGATAACATTAAAATGCAAATCTTGTTTTGAAACAAACACAAAACACTCAATATGTGAAAAAGTTGATCTCTTACCTCCTATTAATCGGGGATAACTTTCATAATTATCCAGGTTGGAAGCCACTTGCTTCCATAAATGTTTGAAAGTCCTGGGAGGGGAAAAAATGTTTATTATTTTGATTATATATTTTTTTAGTATTTAGATTTTCCTACATAAAAAACTGGAGAAGAAATTCAGGTTAGAAATAAGTGACATGATAATGTTGACTGTTATAGAGTTGTCATTTTCTAAGGACAATTTTAATGGATATACTCATTAAGTATACTTTTGATTTATTCCTGAGGAGGAAAATATACATGTAGAAAAGTGCTAAAATTTTGTTTTGATACAAGAATAAGGACCTTGACTGTTTAATACAGAGATATGGAGAGAAGCATGATGCTTTTTAGTCACATAATAAGTTGGATTTTAGATAAATTTACTCTGAAAACTAGAATAGGAGAACAAGAAAAGTTGTCTTAATATTGTTGCAATTACAAAGATTATCCCTCAATGCATTACTGCATTGTGTGATAAAATTGTCCCTATTCTTTCTGACACATTTACATTATTAAAGATTCTAACTTAAAAATTCCATGCATTTGTTTTATGTCAAGTTAATTTCTTATGTCTTGTTTGATCAATTTCCAAGGTTATAAGCAAAACACTAAACCTTTCATACCAAAAACATTTTGTGCATTTTGACTATGACTGTTTTTAATCAAACCAACAATCTCATGCAGATAGCATCTCAAAAAGAAAAAAATCTATATTGACTACAGAGAGTATGTAAATTAATGTTAAGATATTTTAAAATCAGAACACATTTTTATAATTCATTACAATGTTCTTTCATTAAGGGAGAGATGAAGATCCTCTATACGTAATATCAACATAGGAAAAAGTTGCAATTCACTTATGACATACAAATCTTTTCATGAAAACAAAAATGCAACAGTTTCAGTTAGATGTACATTATTATAAAGTCTGACCACAATGTTAAAAATGGTAGCTTCTATCTAAAATTTAAATATATGCAAAATCAATTTTCAAAGACATGAAATGTCTTCAGTATCTGTCTATATTTCCGAGATGAGGTATTATGTACATTATTTACATTATTCGGACTATTGTCCTCATCTTTGTCAACATATTTATTCCAACATGGCACAGTGGATAAAGTTGTTAGTTAGATCCAGTGACAGGACCCAAAGAGTGTGAGTTCAATACCCAGTTAAGGCAATGGAGAACTTTCAGAGGGGAATTAACAGGAGATAACTGACATCCATTAAACATGGCACATGGAACTAGAACAGTCTACCCCAGTGAGCAAAATAAAGGGTTCAGTTCGAAATTCCAACCACCTGAAGAAGGCCAGAGCGTACAACGGCTGAAACGTAATAAATATGGTGACAAAGATGAAGACAATAGTCCGAATAATTTAAATAATGAAATATCTTATATAAAAAAAATTCAATGTTTGACAAATTATAACCAATAAACTAGATTTCAGTTTAACCCATAAAAAAAGTAGACAAGAACTTACTTGACACTGCCAGTGAAATTGATACCAGCCAAAAGAGGGGAGCTTGTTATTGCATTACCAAATACTGGTCCATCTGCAGGTAAAAAATTGATGACACCTGGTGGAACTCCTGCTTCACGGAGAAGCTTAAAGGCCACCCAATTGGAGAGGATAGCTGTATCAGATGGTTTCCAAAGAATGACATTACCCTGAATTGAAAAAAGGTTTGAATACATTTACTTATAAGGATGTAATCAGTCTACCAGCTAATTCTTTTTTCCTAAACTATAAAGATTCTGATTTAGAGAGGGTTCTCAGAACTCTCTTCTATTAACTGTTTTCATTAACAGATTCAAATCTCTATTAATAATATCAACTGTTTGTTACATAACACTGTTCAGACATTTTTATCCCAGAAGACTTAGTGTATGTTTAAAAACACATTGGATCTCAAGAGTAGTGCCAACTGAAATTTTTGTGAATTTGAAAATTACTAAAAAATTATCTTGTGTGATTGAAAGAGATAAGAAGGTATAACTTCTCAGATTCTTCCTCTTATGCATTTATTATACATAAACTTTCTGCCAAAAAGGTATTTGGTCAGGTTTTGGAACAGAATGTCAGATATATAGGCCAGAATTTTTTCACATCTACTTAGTTAAGCAATTATTACTAAAGGTTTTTTTCAGAGTACACACATTTCTATTGAATGTGATACAAGGTCAAGGTTTAAGTGGGTTTAATAGCAATACTGTGGAAAAACTGCTCAAGTTCCCTTGGCACTTCTCTTTTTGGAGGATGCCTCAGGTGCTGGGTAATGACCCCAGCCCCACTCCTAAAGTAGAAGTACTTCTTGGGGGAATGGCCCCTTAGGGCTTGAGTTTAACATTTTGAAACTACCCAGCCAAAACAGGTAAACAATTGTTACTAAAGGTATATGTTATAGATACATTCTTCATTATTAATAAGAGGTGCTGAAATTTTTTTTAGCCTACCCCCCCACCCCAAATGGGGGGGGGTCATTTGCTCAGATTTTTGAATGCAAGTCGGGTCTAAAATTTTAGATACACTGCTTCTCTGACAACATTCAGCCAAATCTATTTCCAGAGTGTTTTCTGGCAACATTATTTGTAATAATCCTAAATCTCTGCTCTCATTGTAAAAAAAAAAAAAAATCAAGAGAGAAGTGGATAAACTATGAAATACATGTTTTCATCAATGTAACAAATGGTATGATAGAAGGACAATCAGGTAAGTATAAATAAGGATACTTAGGCTACCTAGTACTACTACTTGTACATTTTAAGTATCAAAAACAGAACTCCTGGTAATAATGACAAATCAGAGAGGGGCAGCAATCTTATTACCCTACTGATCAAGTCTTATTCAATAGACTTGTTTAAGGAGAATATTTTTTGAAAATCATTTCACTCAATGCAAAGTGGGAATGTCACTAGTATGCAGGAGCTTATAGAGAGGGAAGGTGAGAGAAGACTTGATAGAGGGGATGAGTGGGGGGTACCGAGGAAAGGATAAAAACTGATTGGGGTTCAAAAAGATAGATGGCAATTGATGTTGCATTTAAATTTTTGAAAATTGTAGTTATCAAGAAAGCAAGGAATGGAAGGTAGTTCCACAGGCAGGAAGTGGCAGTTACACTTACCTAATTCAACAGTAAAAGGGTGGGACCTAGATGCCAATCTAGTAGCATGCTTAAATTCATGTAGTCTTGGCACCAGGGAAAAAAGCTTGTCAGACCAGTAACCATGAAAATATTTGTAGAAAAGACAAGACAGAGGGAAGCCACATCACATCAGTGAGAAAATGACTGAAGTCGAGATGTCAAGTCAGGATCGATTACATTGCAGATCCTTCTTTGGATCTTGTCAATAAACTTGAGATGGGTTGCAGGAGCAACTGACCAGATATGGCAACAGTATTCAATGCACAGACAAATGGTAGATTTGTAAATGTGCAAAATTAATTCTGATCAGAAAACCGGGCATGACACAGTGACCCAACTTTCCTTGCAGTAGATGCAGCTATTGATTTGATGTAGTGGTTCCACTTTAAGTCAGTTAAAAACGTGAGGCCAAGAAGGTGCGGTGTGTTGTTCTCCATGAGCTTAACATCAGCAATGCTGATGGCAGACAGGAAAGTTTCTCTATTGTGGTAGTTTTGTTTAGGAGGCATTAAAATTAACAAGCCATTTCCTGCTCCAGTTAACCACTGATTAGAGGTCCTTTTCAAGAGCAGCAGTTAGGTTAACTTCCCTGACAGATTTGCTATGGAGACAGGAGTAAATGGTAGTGTCATCAACATATATGTCTACTTGGGAACTGATGTCATCAAGGAAATCATTGATATCTTTATAGACTGCATCAATTGAAATTGTCTAATCTTTAAATATATAATTTGTATACTGAATGAACTATCTATAATGAAACTGTAAAAGTTTAAATTTACCAAAATTGCAGGTGCCATAGGTAAGTGTGCCCCAATAGCTGTAAAATTAAATGGTGTAACAGCTGCCCAGAATCCCTGAAATAAAAATGTATACATTTTATTTATTGATGAAATGTAAGTTATAAAATAAAGGAAAAGATAAAAAGTAGTTATATTCATGGGAAATTCTAATTTGAAGATAAAATTTGAAAGACTGAGAGGCTATCTAAGGAATTGATATTAACATTACTGTGGCTGTGAATGTAGCTATATCTTTATGAAAATTACATTTCCTGCTGTTGACGTATATATACATTATCAAGACACTGTAAAATGTCACTTCTAAGCATTTGTGTTATAAACTAACTAGTGCTTAGCGCCATTACAATACAACAACTTGTTTCGTGATGTATCTTTTTTATATTTTGTATTGGAGGGTGGTGTACCATTTAGGTCTTTAGAGTATCTGATCAAAGCCAAAATGACTGTACCCATGAGGACTTGCCATCAGTGACTAGATGCTCAGCAAATAAATGGCTTTTTTCCTAAAACCCTGCCGGCACAGCAAGGCAACAATATAGTAGTGAAAGAAAAAAAACTATACCGAAACAAATTTTATATGCAAAAATAAGATGCATTAAAATGCATATTCTCATACAGCTTAATTCCATTTACTAATGAATATTATTTAACTAAAAAAAAAAAAAAAACTATAAGGAGGAAAATAAGATCTTAAATGTTTTTTCTTATGTTTTTTTCTTTAAAAGTAGAAAATAGAAAGGTGTTCAATAAATGTTGATGATCTGAGCTGAAACTTTAAGCAAGATTTTACACTAGCTTGCTTGCTGAGGGTTTTGAGAGTTACATTTCTTAAATACAGTTATTTAAGATAAAGTCTAATTCCTTTCATTTATCTGATATAAATTTTGTTATAGATTGACTAAAATCTATATAAAAAAAAGTGCATATTGAAGTGTTTAAAAATGTTTGACAGCAAAATGTACAGTGATCAATGTCTTAACTTACCTCAGTTCCTCTATATTGTACTCTGTTCAGTTCTATATTACTCGGACTGATTGGTTGATATTTAAACATTTGCTACAAGAGAGAAAACAATTTTAACTTGTAAATTTTAAGGAAGATACAAATGAATGAAATGTTTTTCCATCAAGCACAGTTTATTTTATAATGAACATTTGTAGCAAGAGTTTTTTTATTTTTTTTTAAATTGTAAATTTTAGGGCATAAATACAAAGAGTAAATTGAATGATAACTTGATTATTTCAATTAAGGATCTGACCCAGAGAATCTATAACTGTATAAAAAGAAAATGAATTGTAAAAATTTCCTTGTTCAACTTCATAAATAATTTAGCTTAACAAATAGCCCCCACCCCATTCTACTAACTGCTGCTATTTTATAACCAAGACACTGTTACTGGTTTCAGAAAGCTGCTTCCTTATTAGAATTGGTGTACTATTTTCACTTAAGAGTGTGTACTTTATTATGACACTTTTGATCAGTGATTATATAATGGTAAATTTATTTTAAATTTTGTGACAAGCATCTCATGATTAAGAGAAAGATAATGTGATAGCTTCATTAATTTCCCAGCAGTCACATGTTCAAATCTGACACCAAACTATATGAAATGGTTAAATGAAAATATAAATATTTTCATTTGAATATATTGTTAAATGGATTAATTTTAAATTGCTTTAAATAGAATTAAGGTCGATTTGTTTAAACCAAAAATTAAGTAAACTATGAATGTTGATAATTACTGTTGCATATCTATGTAAAAGACAACTCAATAAAAACCTGTTCTGTATGCCTCATTTAAAATATGTAAACAGGAGACATTTTCATCTATAATATCAATCTTTTCAGGCTAATATCCTCATTTTGGATGTTATAGTCACAATATTTGAGCTTCTGGTTTGTAATATTAACTTTCTGGGAATTTCAAACAAACCTTTTTATTCAATCTATTAATACCTATCACTATTTTGACAGGCATAGACAGAGAAACAAAGACATTGATCTCATATTACTATCCATGCTAGATGATATCTAGTATCAGTAATTTCCCATTAAACCATATGACTTTCAATCCTTGACCTTTGTCATGTCTTTAACCACTACATTTATCCACAATTGATCAGGTAATCAGGTAGTGGAAGTTTAAAGCTAAGGTCTGTTCTTTCCTTGCCAAGGTTCTTATGTGGTGCTCATTTCTATGCTTGAACTACTGAAGAAGTTAGAGCATAGCATGTGCATTGATTCTTTCATCTTTCTTTCCAGTGGTGTTCTCTTATTTGAACTTAATTCCACAGTGTTTGCTTACTTGCTCTTTTCATGCCAAATTATGTGCAAAGTTGGAGGACAATAGTCTAATAATTTTTTATCAGAGGCGTGTTGCAAAGGCTTCAAAGGATCTGAGACCCATACAACATTAGAACAGTATTCAGAAGCAGTTCTATCTTTTAAAGATGTCACCAGCAAGAAGAGTGTATTTATTATTTCATGCAGGTGGGGCAATAAACAAAAACCATAGGACAATGAAATCAGATGTGGATAGAAGAGGAGTGTCACATATGGTGAACACTTAATAGGCAAGAAGGTAAAAATGTTGTGACTACGACAACAAAAATGAGGACATTAGACTGTAGAGCAATAGTTTTTTATCTGTCAATATTTCTGAGATGAGATATTGTAATTGTTTACATTGTTCGGATCTTATTGCCATATTCATGACATTTCAGCTGTTGTATGCTTCATCATGTGGTTGGAATTTTGAACTGAACCCTTTATTTTGTCCACCGAGGCAGATTGTTCTAGTTCTTTGTGCCATGTCTTTTCCAGATGTCTCGGTTACATTCCTTTAATTCAACTTTTCAGTTTCACTGATGTAGTGAGGTATTGAACTTGTGGAGTTAAGGGTTATTTAAATTATTGGGTCAAAAGATATATCAGAAGGCTAAAGTTTTGGTGAACAAAAAAATCTCCATAAACAATTTTAAATTTTCTTTTTGGCCCAACGTTGAAAAAACAAATATACAATGACAAATCTCTTTCAGCAAACAATAAATATATTTCTATAATGTTTAATATACAAAAGGTTGAATGATGTGTAATTCAGTGAATTAATGTTTGGTTGAAGAGTTTAAATTTGTTTTTTAAGTTACTTGAAAATGTTCTTTTAGCAGGTGAAATGTGTCCCTGTGAAGAATGTTCAAAGTGAATGAAATTAATATAGAAGTTGTAATTAATAAACCTGTTTGAAATGAAACAGTTTTTAACAGTTTCTATAATTGAAAATTGCAATGTTTAAAATGGAGCAGGAGTTACATGCTTTTAACTGTAAAATTGTACTGGTCAAAGTTTGTAAGGTAAAATGTTTTTACTGAACTCGAGGAAATAGTTTCAGTTCATGAAATGATAATTAATCCCGATAAAAGAAATTTTCTTCAATAAGACAGAATTGTAGATTCAGGTAAATTTGGCATAAGATGAATTTAGAAAACCTTGATGAATGAGAGTTGAATTGTAATCTTAGCTTCACAATCAAGAAGTAGTATCTTATACATTTTTAATTTAACACTTCTGAGTTAGAATCAGTGTAAATAATTTGAAAATATCTTGCTGCTCAAATTTGCTCACTGTTGAAGATTGACATTGGTTGAGATGTAATTGAGTGAATGTATGCTGAGAGTGGATTTCAGATATGAAAGTTGGTTGGTCAAATTTCTCACTGTTGGTAGTTGATATCAGTTGTAGTTAGTGAGTCAAAAGTTGTGTGCTCTCAGGCGGCATACATTGTTCTCGTCAATGAGATTTTTTCTCATTGGTGAGATTTGCTCACATTATTGTATTTATTTAGCTGTAGGTCATGTGACGGGCTTGTTTCTATTTAGAAACTTTTTCATGGTAAATTAATTTTGAACACAACTGCATAGGTATTGTAACACTTTTCACATATATTAGCCAATCTGAAGTTGGAATTTTAGTTGAAGTTTCTGTGATCCACTTGGCGTTTAGTTTGCACAAAGTTTGAGTCAAAATAATATTAGGTAAAAGTTGAATGCTAAAAACTCACAACTCTTTGGGTCAAGTTGGATCCAACCAACGCTTTTATCCACTGGGCCATGTATGCTTGAGAACGTCAGTGTATGAAATTTTGGGATTTATAAACATAATGTCTCAGTAAACATTCACTTTGACTCCCACCACCCATACAGTGTAAAGAAAGGGATCATCTGCTGCTTACAACATCGAGCAAAAGTCATAAGTGATGACCCAGAGACATATGATCAAGAAATGGTCAGTATAAGCAGTACCCTACAATGTAATTACCCTCGGTACATAGCCGCAGCTCTGACAAACTGGGATAGAAGGGTACAAGAGGATAAAAACACTCAGAAAACAGCTTCGGTCTGCCTACCCTATGTGAAGGGATTATTGGAGAAAATACAAAAGGTCTGTTGGTACATATAACATCAGGACAATTTTTAAAAGAGACTCAACACTTTCCAGACACCTCTTTGTAGTAATACTCCCTCCCCACAAGAGAAGAACATGACTAAGTACTTGAACGACTTGACCCAAAGAGTTTTGAGGTCAATACCTGCCTATGGCAGTGGTGAACAAAAGTTTGGAGTTGAGTTAAAGGGAGGTAACTGAGACATCCGGAAGAACTAGAACTACAACAATCTACCCCAGTGGATGAAATAAAGGGTTCAGTTTGAAATTTCAATCCCCTAAAGATGGCTGTCATGAATATGGCAATAAAGATGAGGACAACAGTCTGAATAATGTAAATAATAACTCGTTATTTTGAAATTTCAGACAGGAAAACTTTAATATTTTTGAAAACTAAAATTTTATAAAGTTACATTAAAAATGTATGTAAGCAAAATCAAATTTGAATAAATATCTCAGATTTAAGGGATATACAAATTCTATTGACAGTTAAGTAAACAGAACTGTAAAATCCTAGCTTATTTTTAATGTATAAATTTTAATATAAATTGATAAAAATCAAATACTCTACACCATGAAATAATTGACTCACATGGGTGAGAAAAGAGATTTTATTACTAATGCAGTTATTGCTCCTGTGATTCAGTTTTGCAGATGACTTGGAAATTGTGCACAGATTGAATAAATTATTAATTTCTTATTTTAATTTAACTTGCTTTTTATTGCAACTGTTTGACTATAAAGTTTCAATTAATGTGGATCAGAAATAAGGAATAAACTTCTAGTGAGATTAACTTCAAGCCCTTTTCTTCAGACAATGCTTCCTCTTTAAAAAAAAAAAATCATATTGCTATAATGAATGTCTTTTGTAATTAATGTCTATAAACTTTAATGTAAATATTTACTAGATTTTGTTTATAACAATACTTGTTTTAACATACAGCATACATTGGATAAAAATATTCTTTAAGTGAACATCTCAAATCAAATTCTTTGAACAATAGAATTATTTGTATAAAATTTATTGTTCTGATTTACTGATGAGTTATATTCAACAGAAGCCAAATACTATTAAAGCCTCTTTACCATAGAGTAGAGAATTTTTCAAACTCTAACTGACTGCTCTTTAAGTATATTTAACTTTACTGATTATGTTTTTTTGTTTTCCTGGATGAATCATTTTATTCCAATGTTAAAATATGCTGAAAGTTTTAATGAAAACCACATGAACTAATAACTAATTTGATTTGTTTTTTTTGGGTTGTTTATTTTTACTGCTTACACGGGTTATTTAAAGCTTTTGTAGGTTATTTAAAGCCAAAACATATTTTGAATTGTAAGAAGAATTTTTTTTTCAACTGAATATTACATTAACAATTTTTTGGAGGTAATGATTTTTCCAGACACAAATTCTACTATTTAACCCATAAATGAGGGGAAGAAAAGATGGATATATTTCCCAAGGGTATTTGCATATAAGTGAATGTAATGAATTTGAATTCAACTCTAGTTTCTTATTCCAAGCTGCTATTATACAACTGCACATCTATTAACTGATGACAGAAATTAATTTGAATGAAGAAACTGATATATCTGCATCTATCTTTCATAAAAAGAAAATATTTGTTTCCACAAAACATTCAGTTTTCAGGTATACTTATACAGTTATCACAAAGAGTTACAAATTTGGAATGTTAATCATAAAAGCCATTTCAGGGAATACAGAGTATTTTTACTCTTATTTATATTGGAGTTTTAAGTGAATGAGCTTAAAAGTTCTCATATATATTTTCAGTTCACTCCAGGACCTAAGCCTTCTCCTAGTCTACCTGATATGGGGTGTACTGTACCTTATCCATGATATTCAAAAGACTAAAGAGCCCAATCTGTTCTGGAGGGAAAAGAAATGTATTCATGCCTTTTCTGAAAGGTATTAGCATAAAGTGGCTCTAAATGCCTTGGCTAGAATTTGAACTCTGGCTGGCAAATTTGATTGTCTGCTCCAATAACACTTCTAATTATAAAAAGATATTTTATTTTTATTAATTTCATAAGGGAATAGCATATAATGTTACTCAAATCTATATCAGGACAAAAAAGTGGGATATAAGAATTAATGGAGTATAAACAAGAAGGAGGGTGTGCAGGTGGCACAATAGGTAGCAGCTTGGACTGAGAAATCAGTGAGCTGAGTTCAAATTCCAGTCAAGTAAGTCACATTCACTAACATGCAAATATCCTTGGGAAATGTATGAATCCATCTTTTCTAGTTATGGGTTAAATATAAGAGCAAATTGGATTCTTCAAACTTGGTTGGCAACCAGTCTAGAAGAAGAAAAACAAATTCTAATCCTGGATAGATGGAATGTCATTATGGGGAACATGGTTATTGAAGGGAAGGAAAACGCCAACAGAAAATCATCCCAACCCCTGGAACAATTTGATTAGAGAAACTTCACTAATTTTCCAAGAGACTTTGTGCCATGAAAGTAACCAGGAAGATAGTGTGTGTGCATGCACACGTACACACACAAGGACAAAAATCAATTTTTAAAGATGATAGAGAAGAAAAAAATATACTAACCAATCCAAACTGAACATTGAATCGATAAAAATCAGCAAGCTCAGCAGCACAATCAATTTCAGCTTGAACAATGGATTTGGCCTGAAATAAATGAAAAACATAAGTATACCATGCAAACAAAAAATATAGTTTGTAATATTAACAGTTTCCATAGCAATTGAATCATTTGACAAATAAAGTTAAATATTTTTTCATTTAAAAAATAAATTTTTCACTATTCCTATGTGCTTTTGTATTTCTACCAGACTCATCTATTACTTCATTACCCAGATAATTAAATTTCTGTACCTGCTTAATTTTGATGTCCCCATTATGTACCTCACATCTGACATGGTCTTCTTTGATAACAATCAGGTATTTTATTACATTTGATGGCTAATCTTTTCTTTTTTTTCTCTACTACCTTGCCTAATTGTTCTTTCAGTTTTGTTTCTGAGTCTACCATCAACAGAGTTTCATCTGCATGTTAAGGTTATGTTTGGAAGGTTTGCTAGTTCTCTTAGGATAATACAGGACAGTGGAATGAATGCATATACACTTTTCTTTGTTTTTCTGTATTCAATAATAAACTCATTCTCTAACTGCGTGCAAGCTGTTTGTTCCCAGCAGAAGTTATGGATTATTTGATATCTTCTCTGTATAAATCAAGCTTTTCAAATAATTCTACTACAAGCTCTATTCATTAGAATCCTAATGATTAGTAATATGGCTCATTAAGCTGATTGTCTGATTGAGTCTGCATTCATTTGTAACTAAAGGATTTCTTTGACATTGCTCTGAAGATTGATCTATAGAGAGGACCTCCAGTATTTTACTACTTTTCTACTTTTTATTTATCATTTTAGTAACTTTACCAATTTTAAAATTGGTTAAGGCTTCAAGCAACATTCTCATTCTGACCCTGCTGTTTTATTCTTCTTTATCTAGGACAGTGTTGACCTTAATGAAATTGAATATTCACTATGTGTGTTTGCATGACCTGAATCAATTATTTGATGATAATATTCATGTTATAGAGAAAAGGCAGCAATGAAGTAATAGGAAGATAAAAGATAAAAAAGGGTGTAGCTCTTATTAAATTAGGAATACTGGAACCAAACAGAATTTAAACGTGTAAAGTATACATAACAAATAAAAAAAAATTACTTACTTGTCCCAACATAGTTGCAGCCATTAGCTCCATCCGATATTTGTTGCTGACTAAATCAGCTGCCTTCAAGAAAATCTTGGCTCGTTCTTCAAATGGTACACGTGACCAACTTTGCCGTGCCTTTTGACTCACATCAATAGCTTTTTTAATGATATCCTGACATAAAATAGAGTCAGATTAAAACAAAACAAATGAAGCCTATGTAAGAAGTATATTAATTATAAGAATATATTTACTATAAAGTTTTAATCAATGAGTTAAATATTAAAGAGTATTTTTTCTACTTAACAAAAACTGTATCATAAAAATCAACCCTGATATTCAGAGGCTGAATTGAAATCCTTTAAATTTATAATAAGATTTTCTAATGCTAAGATAATTTTTTTTTAGCATATTCCAAATGATTTTGATATTATAAGAATAAACATAAGTACAGGTTGGCCACCAACAATCTGTCAATCAGTAATTTGCTAGTTTCCACAAGAGCAATTTCAGATTTCCTGGATGGACTGGACAATAATTTTAGTGGCACTAGTTGTTGCATTAGCTGTTTTTGAATATTTAAAACACATTTTTTTCTACTTGTATTTTGTGCATTTTTATGATTACCTGTTGGCATTTAGCTCCAGTCATGTCTCCAATAACTATAGGAAGTGCTTGTATTGTGTTTGCACTTCATGGTGTGAAGTGCAATCCATAACAGAATGATAAGTTCACTTTATTTTCATTTAATTTTTATTTTCCTTCATGTATGGATTTACAGGGTATCTTAAAGGTAGGATTTTATAAGTGTAAATATTGGAACTAATTTTCTGCTAACAAAAGATAGATTTAAAAAAACAAAACAAAAAAAAAAACTTACTTCATTAGCATAATAATACTTGGCAAGTTTCTTCTTGTGGTCAAATGGCTGCAGAAAGAAAAATTAAAAATGATGTTTCTCTTCATGTAATTGTTATAAAATAATATTAAATATCAATGAATATATTGCTGTGCAGTGATGTAGAAGGTGATTATCTCCTTTCTGACAGAAAGAATTTACTGATGTCTTAAGGAACACTTGTGGGTCATTGGTGAGAATTATTGCTGCTTAGTGCACAACAGAGATAGATGTGACAGCCAGCTGCAATTCAGCTGACCATGGCTATGGCACAATTTCTATGTGCTGTAAATAAAAACCTAAGATATTATCAGTGCTGTACCATGTCACTCTTAAAGATGTTACAAGTATGACATTTTTTTGTCCACTTTATATATTGCTTGTCTTTATTTTTTGCATGTATCTCAATCAATTATCAATTTCCCTGTGTGGGAAATTTGTGGTCTATATATATATACACACACATATATATATATATATATATATATATATATCAGTGTTGTATATCAAATATTTTTCATTTATTATTCATTTTTGGAATTCATTTTTTTGGGTTATTCTAGTCTTTCCTTCTGTCATATTAAGGTGTTAGTATATCATGGGAAGAGAAGGAAATCTGATTTAAAACATCACTGCCTTGTGTCTATATCCAATCATGAGAAAAGATAAATCCCTAAGACGGCCCAATGTTATGTTCAACTTTGTTCTAGCAACTCCTTTGATGATGCTAGTGCCAAGCTGTATTGGACTACCTTTTCTTTTGGACAACATTGGAGACATGGGGAGGGGTGATGTGCTGCATGGGCAACCACCATTCTCTCACAAAACCCTGCTCAGGCCTGTGCCCTGGAGTGCCCTCTCCATGGTTGCTTCACTGTGATGGCAAAACACAGGAAGCAACATTCTACTACTGAGAAGATTCTTAAGATCCTTCTGTATGGGGAACTGGCCACTGGGAAGAGGGTGACCATATCTTTGCTTCAAGGACGTGTGAAAACAAGCCATGGACATGAAGAAATGAGTAGATGTTGCCAACAATCGCTCACGCTGGAGAATGTAATTTATACTGGAGGGCTGGAGCAAGGAGAGAAGAAATAGAGGCTTGCTGCTGAAGAGAAACATGTTCAAAGGAAAGAAAACAGTACAGCAACACCACGGGAGGGCATCTTCACATTGCAATTGAGACTAACTCCTGTGTGAGTCTGTACTCCCATAACAGATGATTTTTCTAGTCAAGTGTCAATCATTATCTATCCTTATCTTCATAATCTTCACTTCCTACCACTCTCTCTTTCACTCATACCACACCACTTTCATCATAACCATTTTAACAGTAACCCTCTACCCTGAGTGGCTCTCAAGTCTTGTATTGGATGAACTTTAGTATTAAAAAGAAAAATCTTTCACCTTTTACAAAGCTGAAAAGATAAGAAAAAAAATCACAAATAATTTTGTTATGAAGATAACTTACAGCCACTTGATAATGAACATCATCAGTACATATTTCCTCATCTCCAACAACAAGAGGAATGTCAACAATTTGGTTGGTCTGTTTCTGCAAAGCAGCTTCCAATTCTGTACGTTCTTTGCTTCCAGATAAATAAGACAAGACTGGCTCATTGACTGCTTTGAAATCCTCCAAGGAAACAGCTGCTTTGCTGGCCAAGCAACGCTTCATACATAATTGACACAGGGTTCTGAAAATATATTACCTCTTAAGTTGAGTGATAACTGTCAAGTATTATCAATTTAAGATCAGTCTTTCAAATATTTTTAAAATCAAGAAGGTTTAATTCAAATATTTGCAACTCTGTTCAAAATTTTAAATGGCCAGACACAAAATTTATTAAAAATAAGAACACAAAGAGAAGTTTCCTGACACAAGAGCTTGAACTTTATTTGTGATCAACATTATCTATGCACGACTGTAGAATTTATAGCATCAAGAATTTCTTTTTCTCTTTTATTTAAAAGAATTTATTTATGCCAAAAAATGCCCTCCATATTATCTGGAGTATTTTAATATCATGTTAACCTTGACTTGAGATTTTATAAAGGTGACTTTTTAAACCAATGACTGTCAATTATGATAAGATATGTGAAAAAAGTTTGATATATATATATATATATATATATAACATACTGCTATCAGGAATACAAAAAGAATTTATTAAGTTTCACTGTCTTCTGAATTCTTAGGACAGACTGCAATTCATATCTAATTACTGGGTGCTGAAATGTAACTGATTGTTCAACAGTCAGTATACTGACAGACAAACTAAACAGATTCCTTCAGTTTGATAAATTAGTACACAACATTATCAGGTAAGTTATTTAAGATGGGATGTTTGAAGAGCCAGGTTTTCATGTGATGCAATTACATATCTAAACCAGGTGTTTATTATTGTAGTGGTAGTAACAACAACAGAAACTATTATGCAATTGAATGCCAAGTTAAGAAAAGTCCTGAATCAAGGTAATTTTGAACTTTACTTTTAGTACAATGAAAATGCAACTTACAGTAAAGTTAAACAATTCATATCACAACCTGCAGGAAAGTTAATTCATATCATGATCTGTGGTAAAATTAATTTATATAATGACCAACAATGTCTTTCATTAAAATACTTTCATTTACAGGATAATGAAAATCAACAAAATCCAGAATTTAACATCCCAGGTAATCTCTAAAAAAACTGGAAAAATCTTTAGCTATTAATCCCAACAACTTTGTTCTGAGTATTAAACAGGTCAAATTTGGTAGATGCGAGGCTAGTGATAAATGACATGATACTGTATATGGAAAAGAAATTAAACTGGGTCAAATAGCTCAATGAAATGAAACCTGTTTGTTATAAAATGTATTTGTTTAATCATTTTTGTATAAATATGCACAGTTAGAGACTAATAACAATTTATGTATAACAGAAAAACATATTTAAGTAAGTTACAAAACTAAGAAAAGATAAAATACATGTATACTTCTCAACATACTTCTCATTTAAAATATATATTATTTTAAATAAAGTGAGAATTTTTAATATCTATTTAAAATTCAGTTCACAATAGAGAAGGAATACAACTAGAAACTTCCTTTATTTTTTTTGGACATTCCAATTACTTGTCCCGAAGGAGAACATAGCACTAATGTTTACAAAAACCTATGCTGAAAAGGGTATATCTAAACTTTCAGACTAACAATCCCTTCCCTAATTCATTGCTTTCAGCATCACATGCAAATCTGTAACAACAATCCAATGAAGATATATGAAGTATAATTAAGGGAAATTAGTGTCAATGCAAAAACTATTTTGAGTTGATTTGAAAATTTGCATCAGTAGAAGAATAACCAATACAACTGATTATGTAGTTAGAGTAAACATTGCTGATGTAAGGAATGGACAGCAGGACATGACAATGTTACACAATCTAATTATATTTAATAGTAAATCCACTTTTCATAAACTGTTACTAGAGATAGTCTCTTATGAGAGAAAAGTTTGACAAAAAAAACTAATTTATGATAGCATTTTAGGGGGAAACAAACTGCCCTCTTCATCAGACTTGAGGAATGCCATAACCAAAGTTGAGTTGGATTAGTTTTGTTTATTTATGGTTTATCAACCCTTTATGTGTTATTTAAAGTTGAAACATATTCCAGATTGTAGGAGTTTGCTTACAGTACCATGTATTTCTATGCTGCCCCCCACCCCATCTAAGTACTGACTGAGCTCAATCCTGCTTAACTTTGGTGATTGAATGAGAACTAGTATTTTCAGTATGATTTGACTGTAGGTAGGTTGAGTTGTAAAAATCTGTTATGGTAAACCAGATCTGGAGAGAGGGAGTATGCTACCATCTCTGGGATAGTTTAGATAACTGAGAGCATCACTGGTGTGTGAGGAAGCTGAAGTAGGCAGTGTATATATATATAAAGAAATATAGTCTTAAGATGTGCTATATTTATGGGATAAAGTGCTCAATATCAGGGATAGAGTGTGTGTAAATATAAAAGTGAACATAGAAGTCAACACTTAGGCGACAGTCTGTTTCATGCTAGATGCAATCTTCAGGCCACAGTGGCCTGACAATTGCATCTAGCATGAAACAGACTGTCACCTCTAAGTGTTGACTTCTATGTTCACTTTTATATATATATATATATATATATATATATATATATCTTAGCCCATTGATTAGATGCATGTCAAGCCAGTACAAACATTTTAGTTTTATATACTTTGTAAAGTTGATGTTGGGAAACTACCTGATTTAGTGTTGTTTGGAATCAGCCAAGTACTTGGTGTACTTTGCACTGTCAAAATAGACCAGTCCAGTGGGTATATCAATGGACAATTTCTGTTGGTAGGTCTCTGGAATTTTATCAGGGTAACACTTGATGAGGGTTGGAAAATAAGTTTGAGGCATCCAATATGATTATGTTAATGACCCTTCTTAAAGTTACAGATAAGGAAAAAAATTAATTAGATATTTTTCATTATAACTATTATAAAAAATAAATCATGATTTTAGATAGTGAAGTTTAATTGCGTAAGCAATGTATTGCATAGCTTTTTAAAAACTATAAAGTTTTAAGCAACATTCAGCTGCACTGGGAGATTTAGGTACTTTTCAGAATCAACAATGCAGTAATCTTTCAAAACATAGTTTAACTTGCCAATTGGCTTGAGTTAGTAGGGCTATTAGATATCTGATTTCTATAACATTGTAGAGACCAATGAATAGTATAAAGCCTTTTTCTCTTGACCTAGATATCATATAACAGTAGGTTTATTATGACAAACATCAAGACATTCTCTTCCAAAAATATGTAACATGTAAATGCAAAAAAATTGCTGTATATCCATCTACTTGCATGATATTTGTTTTCTGAAAATGATTGAAGACAAGTGTAAATTTATTCTGATAATGTTAAACTTAACTTCTTCATAATTGAAAATTTTCACTTTCCAGCCTTGGTCGATTTAAAAAGTATTTATGCAGTCATGTGGGTGGAATCATTCTCCACTCTGTAGTCTTTTTCCAACAGATGCACTGTTACAAGCCTATTATTACTCTGTTATTTCCATAGCAAATGTTCAGAGGAGTTCCATTTTTTAATTCCACTAGTTCTAACCTTTACTGCTTGGAAATGTTGTATGATGTCCACATAAATTGAATCATTTTCTCTGTATCCCAATTGTAAGAAGGAAGTCCTGTTCAGATAGCTTTTTCCACCCACAAAGAACTGTTACTATGTGGAACTGACTCCTGTGTGGATGCTTTCTTGAACATTACAATCTTAATCACTTCAAGGATCAATCATTATCTATCTTATTGCCATGATCTTCATTTCATGCTACCTCTTCTCACATTCATATTGCACACTTCATTCAGTAACCCTTTACCTTGAGTGACTCTCGAGCCTTGTATTGGGTGTACTTTAAAGAAATCAGACAAAATGATCAAAATTTTTGATATCAGTATTCTTATCATTCAATTAAAAAAAAAAAACAAATAACAAAACAGTTACAATCTTGTTTAAATAAATGCACATATGTAAAAAGGGCACATGTGCTATGTAATTACTTTGAAAGTAAATAAAAATATGATTCTTAACTGAATTTAAAAATTGAAAAATATCTCTGAAGTTCAAATATAGATTTTGTGAATTAAACCTAGCACTGACATGCAGTTTTATTTTCTTAAAACTTTCACAATCTGTGCAAGGAATAGAACAATTGTTCCTTACTAAAAAGGAATATCTTTTAATAAATATATCAAGTGCATTAACATTTCAGTAGCAAATGACCTTTTGAAAGAAAATACAGGGTTCAGTATTTTTGTGAAGAAACAAAACAGGTCAAATAAATTTCAGTTGAGAAAATGCTAACTGGAAAGGTCTATGCATGTCTAATGGCTTAATTATTTAGTTAATTTTAGACTACAATTAGCACCTTTTCAAAAAGGAAAAAGTTAAATAATGAATGTTATTAAAAATCTTAAAATAATTATTATAGTTATTTTACCTTATCTTTAATAAAACAAAGCCAACAACTTTTATAAAATTCTAATTCAAATTTAATATAAATAAGGTTTCTTTGAGAAAATAGTAATAGGAAATTCGAATCCAAAGATAAAAAATTCAGAGTCATAATTCCAAAAGGGGGGGCATAAATCAAAAGGTACTCAAAATTTGCAATTCACAACTATGCTCTTCACCCACAAAGAACCAAGAAATCATCCAAGATAGCATTCTTTTACTGGAGTAAAAACAGTTGTAATTGGTCAAGACTTGTTGGACAGAGCAAACAAATACTATATTTCGAGACTTACTAAAGTCAACCTGATCTTCTGATTTTCTTTTCCAACAGATAGCACAGAGAAAAAATTATTTTTGAGATAAGTCTACCTTCTTTGATGCCACAGTTCGGTAAAATCTATGTTAAATCAAATACGTGAAATTTTATTATTTCTCCACATACTGTTTCAGATTCTTTAAGTGTTGGCTGTCTGATCTACACCATTATTATTAAATTATTTTACTGGAATAGTATTTTTCTTATCAAAAAGGTAAAAGATTTTACAACTAAAAGACCAAAATAGAAAGGGAAATGTGCTGTGTATAGTCAAGAATAATCTTCCACCTAGTTAAAGTGACATAACAAAATCAATTGGACAATCATCTCAGACATTT